GCCTTGCCGACCGCACTAAAACCTGCCAGAAGCGCACGCCCCTACAGGGTACATAGAAATGCCATTTAGATCGTGGCTGATGTATCTTAAAGGATTCCAAACGACACGAGGGTATTGAGTGGGCGCGGAGGGATGGTGCTGTTGCTTTTGTTGGGAGCTTACAGTCCACAGTGGCATTCGTAGATAAAGCAGAGTAACCGATCAATCTTCGAATAACAAGGTATAAAATAAAAATGAATATATAGGAGTCAAGCTCTTCAGGCATGGCTACAGTTTTAGACAATTACCTTTCACTATGTGGATTTTGAAGTTATTTGTACTCTGTTTCTGTGGTCGTTTATCCTTGTTATTTGCACTTAGCCTTCGGGTAGGAATTTGCAATAAACGTATCTATATTCCTCTGGCACATGGTAAACCGGTGACCTGGAGCCTTCAGTCCACGGCTACCTCCCAGTGCTGCTTATGAAGCCCAGCAGATACAGCCATGAAAGAAATAAAGGGTTCTCTGTGACACAAATGACTGTAAAAACCCACAGCACATGTCTCCACAAATGAGACAATTTGCTGGGACAATCCGTGACCGGTCAATACCAGATCCACCCCTTCCCTTTCAGGCAGATTCCGTGGTTAATGGAAACCTGCAGCAGGCCCATTGCCACGCCGTGATCCTGTTATCCCCCGGGTGGAAATGAAAGAAGATATGACAGCAATAAAACGACGCAGTGTTTATTTTGCAGCCACGAGAAACGGGATGGACATTGCCCATATGCTCAGGAGGAACGGCAAAGTGGCTTAGTCAACACGGACGTACGGCAATGGCACGAGAGCACGCTTAGAAGCTAGTCATGAGTCACTAGTGAGCTACTCCCATATAGCTCGGTCTGCTTAGTGTATCGTATTTGAAGCATCTTCTTTTTCGTCGAGATTGCAGAGCACCATCAGCTGCAAAACTGTTTCTTTGCATCACACACTGCATCATTTGTGTTGTAACGGTACGGAATCGCTACAGAGCAGGCCAAAGTACGTGTTTTGAGATGGGCGCACCATCTGGGTGCCGGGGTTGCCGACCGCACTCTAACATCTGATCCCCTTACCAAGCCCTTGCTGTCGATACGTCAGAAGAAATCTTCAAGATCTGTTTCCTGATTTATTGTCTTATTTTCAATGACAATGTCTACTTCGATTTACAGTTACACAGCCATTGATGTATTGGAGTCTTCTGCTAAGTGTTCTGATGCAATTTAAATCCAGCAATTTCCTTGTACATATAGGTTTTACCCATTTAAACACACTGTACTCCAGAGAAACATTCAAACACCACACGCAAGGTAGAAATCATGGAAATGGCACCAGGGAGACGGGAAAATGGACTCTGTTGTATGGACCCGTCTGCAGTCCACTAATGATATTTTACGCAGTAGGAAAGCATTAACGTCCTTAAAAACATCTGCGCATCCAGCATTTACCAGTGAATCCAGTCCTATTGTAAACAACTTTCCAGGAATCAACCACCTAGTACATCAACCAAAAATTTACATGTGGTGGAGGAATTTTACTTTAATTCTTTATTTTGAATATTTTTTCTCTTTTGTGCAATTGCCTGTACTGCACAATGTAGCAATCATCTTGAACTGTTTGTTGCAGTTATTCTTTCATGTTGAATTCTTTCATGTTGAATTTAAAACATCTGGACAATACAGGTCAGCATCATGGTCAAGGTATCGCTGAAAGCATAGAGCTAGTATTGGTGAAAAATAGCTGGATGAATGGGTTAGAATAGAGACGGGTGACCGGGGCTGAATAGAACTCTTTAAGCTTCAACCCGAGAGTCGTTCTGTATTCGACGTGACTCCCTCACTATTCATTAACATGCAGCACAGCTTCGTGCAGTGCAGTGATTCTAACCCGTAAGGACTCCGGGGTCTGGGGAGCGGCGGCTCAGTATGGTGCTGATGTACTAAGAAAGCTTTTAAGAGAACGACCTGCGAACTGCCGTGTGTCGTTATCCGAGAAATGCCGCTCTATGGACCCTGTGAGAGTTAGATATACTACCGCACACTATTATGCCAAGCACTGATTCCAACGGATGTGAAAACATTAGTGCAAAGTTATTCGTTTGAAAGCACAATAGGCAGCATCTTCCACTGAGATGGAATTTAGCTTTGCTTGGGTTTTAGAATACAAACGGCAAATTCTGTCACTGTCATGACTTGAATAGCCATTTTAGGGTATCTTTTGCTTACCGTGAGATCTCAGGAGTTTCCGCTTAGATTACTTCCTACCACATCAATGGAAGCGTCCTGCTAGTATACAATATATAGGATAGATCTACACAATGATGTATTCGGCACTCTTCTGAAATGTGATTCATCTTCAAGAAAAAAAGAAAGAGAAAGATTCTGTCAGATCTGACAATACGTACCCATTTCTTTCTCTTTTAGGTAAATATATGTTGACCCCCCCCTGGCCATGCCAGATACTCCAGTGTGCTCAAGGAATCAAGCAACGAAGTAAGTAATAATTTCCCATTTAATGATATTCCTACCATGTCCCTGGAAGTGATTTCTCCTATGGTAAGCCCTACGGTACTGGCTAGTCCAGATTCTCAGTCATCAGTATTCTTTATGTTGTCCGCTCCTCGGAAATCGGTCCGCTGCCCAATAAGAAATATTACATTGTCGGTAGAATGCAGGATAATCCCTCCTTTTTGCTTGCCAACGTATGATAAACATACCAGACAATGGTATTGTAGAACCGTGTTTCCATTGTCGGCAGTGTCGTATGTAGAAGTGTAGCTTATTGTTCACTGCTTGTTGTGCGACATGGCGAACTAATCCCGCTCAATTTCATTCACGTTTCCACATTCTCCAGCGACTGTGGTTGTAATTAATGCCGTGGCCTGAATTACATGAAGTAATACACCACGGTACATGCTAGGGAGCGCTGAAATATCGGGCCTTCTGATAGAAACGGAATCATTTATGAACTAGAAAAGTGGACAGAGGCTATACACAGCACCCTTTGTGTGTGTTGAACAAGGCGTGAGCTGCATATGACCGTGTCAGACTATCTAAAGCTAACACTTCAGTGTGCGCCGTGATTGCCGGGTGAAACTCAAAGGTTGCAGTCGCCCACTCTGGCGTATCGGTACAAAAAGGGGTTAGAGAGCAACAAATAGCGCGTATGTGTCTGTTATTAAAGAGTTATCATGCATAAACTTCGTAAATATTTTGTTGATCGTCGGTTTTCCATTAGTTTTCACACCGAGATATATTTGAAGATGGTGTGCATACCATCATTTTAACCATCTGCATACCATCATAAAATCATGCCTACCAACTTCAAACTATGCAGTCTAATCATGGCGAATTTTCTATCAAGGGAGAAGAAAAATATACACTTCTAGAATCGTTTTAGAATATAGCACATATGTACATAAGAAAACATTACGCACCAGTAGCTCTTGTAAGGTAGTAATGTCAAGAACTGTCAATTGAATACCCTCGAGAAAATAATCTTTCAAGAGAGAGAATATGATTATGATAATTGTAAGCAGTAGGAGTGAAGATAACTTTACGTTTCCCTGGAGAAATACATCTGTAAATAGGAAATGCCTGATGCAACTAGAATCAAAATGGAGACGAAGATGTGTTGTGTAGTTACTGCACTGCACTGTGGGTTAGCTTGAATATATTGTGCACAGTGCGTGGGAACAGAGAATGATCTGTATATATTTTCATGGTAGCGGAACAGAAGATAAATGCATTCAGTTTATGGCCTGAAAAAGGGCCATTAAATGAATTGATTTTTAAGTACCTTTCGCTTCCCAGATCTTGCGCAAGGTTGGGTATTTTGTCTGATCTCCTTTCTTCGGTAGAATCAATTTGCTTTACCCTTGCACAGACGCTATCCGTCACGTAGGAGGCAATATATGTTGGTGGTCACCTGCTGTTTTTGCGGGGTCAGAACGGCGCGTTCGAAGGCAAATATCGTTCATTAGCCCCGTCTGTGAGGAGGCGCACCCTCCGCGTAACCAATTGCTGAGGCTTTCTATGAAACGGGTAGGTCAAGGGGTGAGGACGGTTCTCGATAGGCTCTTCATCACAATTAATCTCATCACCACGAAATGGCTCTTTTAATTTGCTATCAAACGAGTGTGTTCCCACTGATTACAGTGGACGTCGATAGACTACCGGCCCGCTCCGTCTTGATTTGCCAGTCCAATTTGCACCTGGCACTGCCCACCGTTTCGGAATGGTACGTTCCGTACGGTAAAAAGGAGATGTCTGGAGCGTTGGCGTACAGCACTTAAGAGTGAGGACTATTACATATCAGAAGGACGGCGCCTTCTTCTTACGAAATCTCCGCGCCGCCGACGTCTGTTTCAAGCTAGCGTGTCATAGTATAGCTATAGCTGCAAGGTTGATTTTTTGCCGTTGCCTTGTCTGTCCTACACAGCTACTGCATCACCAGCCTCTGGATACGGCGTCGACTGAGTAACGACTGGCATATGTGAAGAGAGCTGACTTATAAATTGCCTGGCGAGGAGATTGGTGTCGGCACTGAAGAGGATAGCGCCGTAGGAGGCCCGGGCTCCGTGTGCAGTCGGAGCGGTGGGCATCTCGTTTGATCACCGCCTCTCTACGCTTGCTCAAGGGGATATTCTCCGATCAGCGGCACCCTGCTTGAACCGGTCTGCAGAGCTGCCTTTCTCCCAGCCGGTAGGATCTGATACATCACAATAATCACCACCAGCGGATGTCTCCCCCCGCCAGTTAATCTCGGCTGCAGGGAACTGAAGTTACCAGGCAGAAGACAGAGAGTCGCCACGTCCAGGTCCGTTCTCGTTTGCAATAGACAACTCGGCAATCGATAGGAAAAGGAGGGTGCTCTAACAGATGCTAAGAATTTGTGACGGATCAAACGGCGATTTTCAGAAAAGCTCTTTCCACTTTCGACGGCGCACGGATGACAGTCTCCCCGCATTGCGGCGGCAACGGCAGCAGCCGCATGATCGAGTCTGATGTTCAGGAATCTACTTTACATTGACGTGCTACAAGTGGTACTCTTCGTCGCGACCCGGTACCCAGGTATGTTGTCGTAGTGGATGCCATTTTGTCTGTTCCCGGGGAAGGCCGTCGTACAGACCTATAATGGGCGCTGAGCAGTACGTGACGCCCAGCCGCAGCAAGGGAACGCACGTCACGGAACAAACAGGATTTCCCTTCTACAGGATAGGACCGTCTTCATGGAAATTGGATTGGTGAGTGATACAACAAGAGTGCCTGGTCGACACAAGCTACACGGGCCCTTTCAACTCCTCTGCGCTACAGGTACTGTTCGTGATTACAGGCTCACCATCTATATTACAAAGAGGAAGAGACCCGCTGTGATCCCCGGTCTGCCTGCATCTCTGATGAAGCCCATCATTCAGACTCTGCAGCAAAAGCCGGCAAGCCTGCTTGCTCTCTTCTTGGTTGGGATGCTACTGTGTGACGCCTTTCCACGTAAGTACATCTCCACTGAACACTCTGTCCGATCTAAGGGGGGAGGAAGGGGGCATGGCATATGGTTCAGCAGAGCAGGATGATACGGGTCAGACCAGGTGGTGCTCTATTAAAGAAGCGTTCGCCCATTACAGCACGGCAAGGGAAGAGCAGAACGCACAACATCATATTTCCCTGGGCAATTTATCGCCACTTTGGAAAAAAAGGAAAGGAATGGCTTTTATTGATTCTGACTTTAGAGACAGCAATGGCACAAGGCACAAACCTGATTATATCACAAGGCGCTGAATGTAGATTACGTATGCTTTCTCGGGTCTTTATCTAACTAGCGAGTGCACAACCCTGCTAAAACAAAGTGATCACGTCCTCGGTGGAATTTATGGCAATGAATAATTTCACTCCACTCGAGCGTTGATGGCAATGTCACTAAAGCTGCTGGAGGATGTCCCGGGAATGAATGATGAGATTCACGAGATGTCGTTTCCACTCAACAGATCTACTTCCATCTCCCTATCTTTTTCTGTGAATCTCCAAAGTCTGTGCGGTGTTAACTGAATCTGCGAACTAGAAGCCTTATTTTTTTTCAATGATGATGCAATGGGTTTCCTGGCTAGCATGCGGAAATACGCCACACTGCCTGCATTGCCAAACACAGCGATCTTAAAACTAGTCATTAAAGTCTTGGACGCGGTCCCAAGTGTAAAACACACCGACAACAAATTCTGTTAGAACCCAAAACGTACTAGTGACATTTCCGGTTCATTGGATAAACATTAAGAGAGAGAAAAACTATATTTATAAAAGGGTGGTGATTTCCTTGCAGCAGAGCTAAATGTAGAGAGCCAGTCGTAGCATTGCTATGAAGTACAGTAATCAAGTAGAAAAGGGTGCGTAAGGCTCGTCTTGCATACGGAATTTCCTATGATAGGCGCATGCTTAAGTAGTATCTCATGTCATGCTTGGGTTGTTTGGAGTAGATGTGTGTGCACCCGACCGTATGATTCCTGCCACATTTCTACGCATTGTGATTTCATGCATTGCTGACGGAAAGGTAAAAAGGGACGGCTGCAAAACGAGCGGGTCATTCATTCACCATAGACACGACTGAGAGAGGATGTTGCGTTATGTACCATGCCCAGGCGTGGAGAAAGATATTCTGGGATTTCGACTCTGCATGAAAACTGCCGCAACATTGATGAATAACATCGGCAGTGGCTTCCTTCCATGAATACATATCTATTTCAATCTATTTCAATAAACTAGCGTCAGGAGACATGGCTGATGTATTTGGTGCTTTACAGTATCCCATCTGTGTGTTGAGGTAACGCGTCACCCCAGCGCCAGTTTCGCATGACTGACGAGGTTTTTGTCACGGGTACGCCGGAGACTGTCCCCTATCGGCCCAACGCTTTCCCCATAATTGGATCACCAATCCATACATACGGCTACTTTCAATTGGGTTCGCACAAAGGGACAATTTCAGATGTCCTTGATACACCTCGCTATAATTGGAAGTGTGGACGCACTTAACGCAGCTTCCATCGTAAACGGAGTAGGGGAGGTTATTAAGGTCTATGGGTTCAAAGCCCACACTTTAAGTCAAAGATTGCTACAGAAATTCAAACACGGCAAAGTAAACCATAAAAGAAATAGTTTTACATGCACTGCGCGCGCCTGATGACTATCTTATCTAATTTCGCTAACTCATGACATTAATATTGCCAAAGGTACTCCAAAAAGGCTTGCTACGGACGTATCATTGTCATCCGTCGTCAGCGCCATTTTACCAGCTTCTTTAGCGGCTTACAGGCGTTCAACCGTCTGTTTAAGTCCTGATTACCGTCCATTAGTTTCATAAATTGTATCATAATAATTCATCAAAGAAAGCATAATCGGGAATTAGTGCTTGTGTTGTAATCTTCTGCATTAAGCCTGCAGCAATTGGAGACAATTAACAGTAATCACGCTCGCTGGGTCATCAATTACTCTCAAGAAGACAAAAAGAATACTGGATTAGAAATTAAAGCTTGCAGCCATTTTCGCTTTTATGGAGATGCCATAATTTATGCTCCTTAAGTCCTTAAGAGCTGATTGTTTGAGACAATTCTTTAAGCTTCCATTAATTCCGGTTTGGTAAGAATGGCGACGAGTTCTCTCGGCGGGGATGTGGATAAAAGTGATCCCGGACGCTGGGGGCCAAAATAGGGTCCTGGAGGAGCTACGGGAACGTCTTCTCCAGAACCTTAACGGGCCACGCCATAACCTTGGAGAATTCCAACAGCGCCGCTAATTTGCTGCTCAGATGCGTGACTAATGACAGTGGGGGTAATTCAAAGGTTTTACCTGATGCAGCAAGGCACCCTCGCGTCACTGACAATTTACATGCACGGGGCAAGCTTTAAATACCACAAGTCTGCCAGGGGCTGCTAAGCTGAATATGTACTCGTGTGTGTTGATCCGTCTAGAGTTGTTAATGTGCCTGTTCTTACTCGGTACAGAGCGCAGCAATGGACCTCCCGTCAACGCAACAGTTGGGCTACCGGCACCAAGGACGGGGACAAGCGTGCTGGCGAAGCTGGAGGAGCCGTCCCAGACCAAAAATGGCACGGCCACTCGCACCAGACGGAACAGTTCCAGAGGTAAGATCACCAAACAACATCTGCGCAAGCATAATGAGGAAATCGTTAGCTTTTTACGGATGCCGCGATGGCTTGGATTGAAACTGCCACGTCCTGATAAGAATACAAAGCCACAAGCGTGACGTATTGTTTTCATTGTCTGTGAGGCGTGCGATTCAATATCAGACCGGCAGTGTACTGGCACGTACCGCGCCTGCACCGGTGCAGATAGGGCCGCTGAAATCAGCAACTTTATCGACGTGAACACTTGTTAGTAATTCACGGGTTAAACCGTCCCATTGTGGCGTCGTATTTCATCCCAACCAATTCTAGATTCGATTATGCACGGTCCTTCTTGTGGGACAAACCGTCCGTCGGTTATAGAAGCAGTGGCGAGTATGTTTGATTCACAATCTTTTTTCAGATTTAAGAGAAATGCCATGATAATACATTGTGCTTCAGGCAGCTGACCATGTAATTATCTAAACAGGCAAAGACAATATGGCGTTGTTATATATCACTCCTAAATTGTCCTTTCATTCATGATCTGCCCCTACTGCTTACATAGAATAAACCACTGCTGTAAGATGTGGTGCTTCTTTTTCTGGTAAGACGACGTCTCTGGATCCAAGGTCAACGATGTAGCCCTTTCCGCCTCCCTGCGACTTCACCATTAATAATACAGACTTAACCGTGGCTACAGGCCTGGAGACTTTTACGGTTGTAGCCACGGGGTCCATCAGAGCAGCGATCCCTAACAGCCCTTCTATGCATATCAGAAAAGGCCCAATCTGGAGAATTGTCTCTTATCTTGCGCATTAATCCTTCATGAGTTCTGTTGTTTCACAGCTCTTAACGCCTGTTACGTCCCTGGGATTTATGTTGCCCAGAACCAACTGCCGTGCACAATGTTAAGATGCTCTGACCTTGGGGATGTCCGTTGGATATGGTTACCAATGCCATATGTTTTGTGTCAATGGTGCATAGTCCCGATCTGACTGTAATAATGCATTATAGAAGTCCGTAAGCGGTTTCTGTATCGTTTCTTCACGCTTGATATATTTTCCTGTATGTCTGAATTCAGTGTAATGTAAGCAGCCCATTCACGAGTCGGCACGGCCCACGTTAGGACGCCCGCGGCGGCGGAATTTGATGCGCGGCGTCTGACCAGCGAATGTTCCGCTTCACTGAGTCGAGAAAGGATTCACTGAACCCAATTTTCAGAGCATAGCCTTTTAGGGAGATCCTCATACGAAGGCAGGATGTAGATAAATAGAGCGAAGCAGTTTTGGCCGTGTGAGGATTACTGCTCACTTCCAAATGGTCCCTCGACATAAAGTCCTTCTTAGAGGATGTAGAACTGCCACCCGGGGGCCAGTTTTGATATAAGCCAGGAAACCTTTAGATAGAATACCGTAAAGCATATTTACGACAAGCATTGGTATCGGTATCCCATTGAAAATAAAACTACAGGATTGGAAAAACTTACTGCATTATTTTGATAATAACACTACATCAGTCATCTACTATAAACACATTATACGTGCGTCAAAAGCATAATGCAGTAATCTCTCAGGAGGATGCTGTACTATTAGATGTTTGCATGATGCATATGAGCCATCAAAAACCTTTCCTTTTTTTGCTGAGCGTAACACAAATTGCTCCCATACCTACGTAAGTATTCTAGTGAATAAACGGCTTTGACTCGAGTGAAAACTCTGAATATGCTGATGTTAAGTTTATGTGTTTGCTGTCGGCATGGCCCCTCTCCCTTGCCTCTTATTCATTCATAATGCCGCAGTCACAATTCATAGCATAGGTGAAGCGTAATTGAAAAATCTGCCCAGTCAAACTAATTGCGAGGATTAGCTTTATAGATGGGGTGTACTTCGCCATTTATCAAGCTGAAGGATGGGCGTTCTTTTAGCAGATGTGTCAACTGTGACGTTTTGTTTTTCTTTCTTATACTCTTGAAATTGCCTTTTCATTGCTTCTACTTTGTCGTATTCTTGTCAATAAAGGCAGTGTTAGGATGTTAACGTCCCCATGAATAACACATGTTCCTAATTATGAAGGATGTCTCAATCTCCTTTGAAGCTCAGGACTTTGCAACTTCATCATTTAACGGCCTTGCTCTTGTCTAGACCCGATGTAGTTCAAAGCTTTGAAGTGCATAGAGACTAACACTAGATGGAAGCACTAGACGGAAGATCACAGGGTCCAGGGATTGATTCCCAGGTACCCCCTGAAAGTTGTAATCTGTATTGGGAACCGTATGCCGAATCCTGTACATGGAGGTGAGACACCATCACCCTATACCTATGATTCCCGTTCCAGTTCTATCCGAGAATTGTCCAGCCACCATTCACACATGTACGTAAAAATCCTTTTAGGTCTATCAGCAATCATGCCAGTAAACACAACTGGACAAAATGAAAATCGTAACTCTGTATGTCGTTAAAGGTCAAGTTGAAGCACTAGGGACGATTGACACAAAAGGTATTATCTACCAACAATACCATGCCCAGAGACGGAGACTTTTACAGGATGGGTAACGACCATGCTGTGAAATTTTATCGGCATCCCCAGACCGCATTGTCTGCCATTCCATTGTCTCGGATACCGCGCCTAACACAGTACTATCGACCGGACCCTCCCACTCAAGTAAATTCAATACTGACATGTTGGGAGACGTTTTAAGGTGAGACCCGCTGGGAACATCGGGGTATCCAAATATAATATCTGACCATTACGAGAAATTAAACTAACAATCATTGGGGTGACCCTGCAGACCGGCACATATGCGTTACTGAACCGTTCGATAATTGAATTCCGTGATAGATTGAACACTTCCAGTTCCACAAAGAACATCAGCTACAAAAATTGACCTATGTGGTAACAGATGATACCTAGTGAAGAAGGTGCCATAACCTGAATTTAGACTTGACATCTTACCAGCACAGCAAAGCAGTGGTCGATAGACATATATTAGCGACTCAATGGAGATCAATGAAGAAACTGCCTGTAAGATCAAGTAGCTTCTATGACCGTACGCACTGGGTATCATTTTATCACAATGCTTTACAATGTATGAGCAGAAGAATATTTCCTCTGATAGTATGCATGGCATACCCGTCCTATAGGTCACTGACCAGGAAAAAGTAAAGTGTTCAAGATCAATGAAAGAAACTGCCTGTAAGATCAAGTAGCTTCTATGACCGCACGCACTGTTTATCATTTTATCACAACGCTTACAATGTATGAACAGTAGAACATTTCCTCTCATAGTATGCATGGCACATCCGTCCCAAAGGTGACTGACCAGGGAAAAGTAAATGTATTTGACTGATTCAACTTCAGAGGGGCGAGTTGAGATGAGATATTCCAATTCCAATTTCCAGGAAAACGTCTTTAGATTTTCCTCCAATAAAAAGGCTGTAACGTTCTGTTTAGAAGCTGTGGATATTGCCTATCAAGGGCCAGTCGTGGAGCCTACCTGCCCCCTGACCTTTCATCGATCTGCTATTCTATTGCATCTTTGTTTGACATTAGTCGGCGGAAAGTTTTATCGTCGGAAACGACATTTGATGCTCGACTCTCACACGCGAAATGAGATATTTGCCCGCTGTCGTGCGCCGTATATTTATGTACCGTGCACTTAGGCGAGGCTGAGTCGTGCAGGCTTAAGTGTCGGTGTGTCGGATGATAATACCGCCTAAGATGAACGGTAAATGTAGCTTGAAAGAAGGCAGCCTGAGATGATTAATAGTGTCCTATCTTCTATTGTTCTGAATCCACGAATCGCCTTTGCCTTTGTTACTCATCTCTTAAACATCATAATGGAGAAAATAGGATCTCTTATTGCTATCATTTCCATCTAAAGAGAGGCACTGGTATTGTTGAAGTGAGAGTTATATATAGCTTGGTAAGGGCAATGATAGTACTAAGGTACAGGCTTTAGAAACACTTGTCATATTGGTGACGTCCTGTACCATTAAATGCTAGAAAGCACTAGCACTCAAGAAAACGGCGATGAAAATGGAGTGAAGAACTGTCGAGACCATATTTTACACGGTTCTAGAGTCCATGTACAAATGTCTGCTCACCAATACTGATTCTTGATGTGTTTTACTACTAGCTTTAGTATCGATAAATTTTACAGGCACGTTCTTTATAGGTTTCATTTAGAAGGGGAAGTTGGTATTGTATGTTGTATATCTTACTGACGATGTTGGTAACAAGTCGTCAAAGGGCTTCTCGTGTCTCTTTCACCGGTTTACTTCTCATATGTACAGCTCACACACGACTTTATCTTGTGTGCGTTTTCCACGATATCAAGAATTGAATATACATAGTCACCTTCCATCTGTAACAAAGCTTCCTGATCAGTCCCTTGTAGAATACTATTCACCGGGTATGATAGGACATTGCCAGTGCGGACTACAGAGGGCCGCTATATAAACGAAAGAGCTAGAGACGACCTCAAGCATGCTGGAAATCCTATTTCCATCAGGCGCTTGTAAATGAGAGATCGCTGTGCAACGAAAGCCAGGACGGATTGCTTGGATAACATGGGGAGGTCACCTCCATCGATGTGCCATCGATATAAGAAAGGCGCGTGAGCAGTGGATCATAGGTTGCAGAAAGTCTGTGGCGCCCCCGTCTCCGTTGGGGGATGGTTGTATTCCCATTATACATTTAGTTGTTCTGGAATTTGCAGACAAGATAACACAGAATATTCCTGGATGGTATTTTACAGCATTTGATATGCGCTGGGTGTAAGGACTCTCCAAGGTGCCACAAGTGATGCTTCAGCGAAGCTAGCATCTACTCTATAACTCTTACATGATTGGATGGACACGATTTTGAATGAGCACACAATATGATACAACATGGTTCTGTGGGCACACTGAGAATACCAGCTGTGTCTGAAATTACATCTGCCGTTTTATCTGTTTTCCAAGCTGATTCGTGACTGTTCTGGGAACTTGGCTAGCCCTATGACGTTGGCGTTCATTGTT